GACTTATTAAGTTTATTTGTAGTAGTGTTGAGCCAATTCTAAATGCTGCTTTTCCTTTCTTGGATGTAATGAAAAATACCCGAAATTACCTCCACACAGTAATGAAAAAAACCCCAAATTACCTCCACTCCCCCACCCCCAAAACCCCTGTAAACAATCTTACCTTAGTAAACTAAGTCATTTAGTTTACATTTAGTTTCCAACTTTTAAGTTATGCAAAACACCACAGGAAAAAAATATCCCTTAATGATGTTTTAGCATGAATCAATTTGTTTTGTTACAGTAGCCCAGACAGCAGATTCTAGTTTTAGACACAAACTGTTGGGTACTGAGGCGCTCATGGCGAAGGACTCCAACAGGAGTTGGGTTCACTGAGCTGGTGCTGTCTAAAATTATTGGTCTTTGAAAAACAAATAATCATTCTGCAGTCAGTCAAATACTGCTAGAATCCACTGTGTGCAATAAAAAAGAGACGTGAAACTTGTTTTTAGTTTTTTCCTTAGGGAAAGGCGTTAGGCAGGGAACTTGATTATTATCTCATAAATACGCATCTTGCTTTCAGCACTGGAATAGAAAAGCCTGTGAAGTTTCTTTCCCATGTGCTCTTTAGGAGAGTAAAATATAAGTTTATTTTACAGGACACAAACTGATTCATTGAATATATCTGCTATATATCTGCATGTGTAGAAATAAATGTAAAGTTTCACGTTAACAGTTTTACTACCTTTTCAGCCATCCTCTAACTCACTGCACACTGAATTTCATCCTCATGGAATTGGCGTTGCGTAACTTCCACTATAAATTCACACCCCAGAATGAAGAGAATCTTCCACTGGTGTAACAAAACTAAATTTAAATAGTGACTTGAACTAAATCAGGAATTTATTTAGAGTAAAATCGAAGAAAATACTGGCATATGTTTTCACCATGTACTAATTTTTTGCCTTTGTTTTTGGGATACTCAACTTTGCATCTTGAAGTCTTATTTACTGAAGAAGGTTGAGAAACATGACTGACTTCAAATGGATTATTAACTACCATCCCTTGGCTCTTGAGCACCAATCCTTTCGTACTCATGAAATACCCAAGACTACTGTTAAGGTTTCAAATCGCACCTGCAGTTCTCATCCAAACTTCTTCCAGTTTTGCAGACTGGTATTTTATAGCTGGACATGATCTCCCAGGACATAAAAGCAATGGAGGCAGAAACAACTCCATGTTCAGCAGCAGCTTATGCATATCAGCTATTCCTCATAGTGTAATGGACATAATCAGTCACCACAACTCATGAACTTTTGAAAGTTAAGTGCTATAAAAGGGAGCAAAATTCAGTTGTCTCAATGTATTGTTCATTCTCTTGCCTCTGAACTGCTTTGCTTCGTAATTCTTAAGGAACACATGTAGTTCTCAGCACACTACACAATTAATGAAATTATTCAACTGTGTGAATGTGCCATAAATTGCATCTCCTTAGTTGCTGGGACCTTAAGCAGGTTTTCTAAAAAAAAAAAAATACTTACAAAGTTTAGCTTTTCATCTTTAAGAAAACATTACCCTAAATTCCGTTAGAATTAAGTACTGTTGCCCTAACACATTGTTGAAAATAAACATCAGTGTAGACTGCAACATACCAGCAGTATTCAAATGACAGTTTTCAAATAATTTACACTTCCACACTGTTCAAAAGTAACTTGCAACTGCACAAATATGGCAATGATTTTCGACCTGGATAAATCAGCCAGTGGCTGGGCAGAACCACAGCATACATGACCAGACATGTACCTTTGGCTGTGTGATCCAAGGCATACACACATCATGTGATGAAGTCTACGTTTTGGTCATGTATGGCACTGTTATCCAGTGACATAATGGAGGAAGGGTTGTGGAATTTTCAGGAAAGACTAGCAGGGATCAGGTTGCCAGAACAAGTCAAAATCAAATTCTGTTGCTTAGATGTGGAAGCTCCTCTGGGAAGAAGACACAGGAGTATTTGGGCTAGATTTAAAGGTGAGTTTTAAAATAAGGCTATTAGGCTTGTTATTGCTACCTTAATTTCAGTTATATTAAGTTTTATTTCTTCAGTTTCTAATGATTTGTCTATCTAATATGTAAAAACTTGCGAGGACATTCCCACAGTCAAAAACTTGCATGGTAAAATAGGGAACATTTCTGCTGAACACAAGTTTTACGTTGTTTTTGCCCTTCTTGTTTTGAAGATGCTCCTACTCTGTCAGAAAAAATTTTTATTTATAATTCAACTCATTCATAATAATTGCCTCTACATTTTACTTCATTTTAAGAACTTGAAATAACAAAAAGGCAGCCTGAAGCTGGAAACATGTTTGACAGGGAGGAAGTAACACAGAGTACATATGTATGGTAGCTAATGCAAAATATGGTATATTTTTTATATTATCCAGTAGAGTTCAGGCAAATCTAAATGAAAGTGCACTTACAGATCTCACATTTATTAGCAAGGACTCAGGGCTTGCAAGTATTCCAGAACTTCAATATCTATTAATAAACCAGTGGCAGAGTGGGACTGCTATCTGCTGACAAGACAGACTTGATAATACAACAGCAAAGCTATGATTATAAAAGCATTTGAGTTTCCAGTGTAGATCTCTTGACACTCCATTTTGAAACACCTGAAGTTTGCCAAGCATAAATCTGACCATCTTGAGTCACTACAGCTTGAAGTGAGAGCACAGAAAATCCTTGGAAAGGATGTATATTTTGTTATGACTGCAAAGTTGACTACTTCCACTGAAACTGCATCGTGAGTGAAAGGTGAACACCCACACCTGAGAGAAGCAAGGTCTAAGCAGGGTCTCCAGTTCATCTGCATGGTCTTATTTCTTCCTCTGTGCAATGACATTTAGACTGTGTCCAGTATAAGGAATCTCCATTGTCTGTAAGAACTTCTGGTAGGACAGGTACACTGAATGTAATCTAAAATGCTATGCCAGCTGTCATCAGATTCTTCATGGAGACAACACATTATCAGAGTTCTCCTGCTTATACCATATGAGTTTTGTCATCTCCAACAGAGATACTGCTTTGAGAATAATGCAACAATCACATTAAAGAAATTCTTACTTAGGTATCATCTCTACATACATTTCTGTGCTGTACAAAGTCCCACCTCTGCAGGTGCTAGGCATGGGTGTGGGATGCAGACAAGCTCCCAATGCCAAACCTTAATGATAAAGTCGAGTCACACACTATGCAGGTCCACACTTCCTATATGTAAAACAGCAGTATAATCCTTGTTAGCAACCTTCCCAAGGGTGTTGTGAGGAGTAACGATTTGTATAGTTCTTTATTAATTCAAAGTGTTATGTCTTTATTAATTCCAAGTGCTATGTCCAAGATAGCAGATGTGGTGTTCGCTTCTGTGAGCCATCCCTGGGCACCGTTTTATGATGGATAAATTCTTATCCACTTGAATTTTCTTCTTTGGGTGAGAAAAGCCATTTCTCCCAAAACATGCGATTTGATCACTGTCTATCAGTAAGTGTTGCAAAAATGTTGGCAAAAATACCTTCACTTCGGAAGAATTAAATCCATAAAGGGAAGCAGAACAATTAAGACTTTGAGAGACAAAAATCTTTATGATTGCCATATTCACAGAAAGGGATAAAGGCAATCTTTTGGAAGATACTGTATTCTGAAAACTTCCACTGCCCACTATGATGAAAGCCAAAGTTACCATAAAACACTAATATAGCTGAAAGTGCCCTGGTGTTCATTGTAGATTTTATGTTCTGTGAACTCACCCCAGGCCATGTAAGCCCAGTATGATAATTATGAACAAACCACGATCCAGTAAACTACTTTAAAAATGTGAGACATGAGTCGTCATACCTCAAAGAGCTACTACACAAAACTAAATTCACTTCCACATAGACTTGTTTAGAAAAAGAGGGCTATTATTACTGAAAGGGAAAGATGTTAATCTACATATAAAAGCACAGAGACTGTTTCAGTGGTCTTGGATGCCTGTTAGGTCCAGACTCTACAAGCTGGTCTCATCAAATTCATTATGGGTCTACGTGAGGCAACTTCATTCCTGCAGAGAACTTAGCAGGGGAGGAAGGAAAAAAAAAATCAATAGCAGCAATATTTTTGTGTGATTCGGAGAGTTAAACAAACATTGTAGTATATATACATAACTACTGAGCCCTTCAGTAAAGCATGCAAACTATCCCAGATCACCCACATCCTAATTTCACAGGAAAGCCTGACAGATGAAAGGTACATCTGAAACTCTGTACTTTATCCATCCCATCTAAGCCTCAAAGAATTTAAGGCAATAGTTTCACTGTGAAACTTTCTACAGAAGAAAAACTTACATCCAACTATGTTATACAATAACTTGTATATGTCACTTCCCAGGTCACATAATCACATCACAAATGAAATTTTACATACCCATGAGTGCAACATCTTTAGCCTGTGTAAAGGAAAAAACGCCCTGTTCATCCTTACAGGTTATAGAGCTGTAAATTTAGCAAATCATTAATAGTGGTACGATGATTATATGTGCAATGGTGGCAGAAGGCGAAAGCAGGGGCATAGAGAAATAGAGATCCGAAAGAAACATCAGTTCCCTCTTGTGACAACGTTTGACAACAGTGTTTGCCACCCATACTAAAGTGGGTGGCAAAATGGGCGGCGAAACTTTAAGTCCCGAGTAAACCTATCCCGCTTAAATAAACCCCCAGTAAACGCCCAAGGCTGGCAGAAGTAAGTTGGCACCTCCACTCCCAGCCGGACAGCCTTTGTTCGCCGGTGCCAGCCGCTGCAGCATCCAGGGGAGCACAGAACCCCGGCCAGATACACGGGGGGGTCCCAGGAAGCAGTCGAGGAGTCTCCGTGACCCCTCCCAGGGCCGTGGGACGGCGCCGGGCACGGGAACGCCGGGGGGAGGCCAGGCTGGCCGCGCCCGGGAAGCGAGGGGGGGGGGGTGTGCGAGGGGCGGCGGGGCCCTCACTCACCTCTTCCACCTCGATCTCTTTGTAGTCGATTTCTTCGAAGTTGAGGACCGGGGGGGTTTCAATCATTTCAGCGGAGGCGGCAGCGGACATGCCTCCTCTTTCACCGCGGGGAGGAGAGGCCCGGGCCGGGGCTACGCGAGGGTCCGGCACCGGGCAGCCGAGGGCCGGGGCTACGCGGGGCGCGGCGGCGGCTCCGGGCGCAGGTCGGGGCGGGCCTGGCCGAGGCGCCGCCGGGGCCGCATTCGCGTTGGCCGCGGGGCTCACTGGCGGCGGGCAGAGGCCCCGGCGCCGCCGCTGCGCATCCCGAGCCCGCCCGCACCCCCGCGGGGCGCCGCGCCGGCCGCCCTAGGCCGCGGCCTCTGCTCGGGAGCCGCCTCGGCCGCGCGTCCCCAGCGGAGAGAAGGCGGCGTCCCCGGGACCGCAGCCGGGCGTCTCCGCCAGCCCCAGCGGCGGCAGCGGGCGAGGGGGCCGCGGCGGGGTGGGAGAGCCGCTCAGAGCCGCGCCGCGGCCGCCGCTGACATCAGAGCCGCTTCCTGCTGCCCGGCCGGGGAGGGTGGGACGGAGGGAGGGAGCTCCGCGTGGGGGCGGGCAGGCAAGCGCCAGCCCCGGCGGCTCCTCGGGCGGCCGCGGCGGGGCCACGGCCTGGCGGCGGCACCGCCCCAGCCCAGCCGCCGCCAGGGGGAGCAGGCGCGGCCCGGGCCCGCTTCCTGTGCCTGCCGCCTGCCGGGAGCTGCCGGAGGGGCGCATCAGCCCCGAGGTAGCCGGGACGTGGCCGCCTGGGCAGCGAGTCTCCTCTGGCGCTGGTGGGGGGCAGAGTCCGGCCGGGCTCCCCGGCCTGCGGGGCGGCTGCCGGGCACAGCACACCCCGAGGTTACTGCCGAGCAAGTGCAGAGCCTCACACCTTTTCTCTGTATATGCACCTCTTCCCTATATATACACATTTTCCTGTATATATACCTTTTCCCTACACACATATACACACATATATGTATTTTTCCAGGGGAAGAGGTATCCTGTGGGGCACACGAGCCTTGGGAGCAGCGCAGCTTGGGCTCTTCAGCAGCGCTTTCCAAGGGGAAGTCTTGTGTGTAGGAGGGTGGCTGTGGAGCGCGAGGTAATTAAGCAATTGATGTAAACACATAGCAATAAAGGGATAGGACTCGGGAATTAATGTGTACCTTAACCGCACTATTTCTATTCTACAGCTAAAGGGAGTCTCACTCAACCCACTCTTTCCCAGGAGTAGCTCCTGCTTCCCTTTTAGGCTGGGGCAGGGCATCGGTGTTTTGGTGGTAAACATCCCAGGCTGACGCTTTAGGCGGTCCCCGGTGTGAAATCAATGCTGGGATGAGTGAACAGAGCTGCTGTGTTCCACTGAAACAGCTGTGCTTCATTTTGATATGTTTAGCCTTGGGGCTATATATAAAAAGTTATGTTATTGTACAATACTATTAATAGTATGTAATTTTAGTAGATCTAGTAAGCTTTCCTAGATCTTGCTCTGGAAATGGAATATCTGTACCACACAAGGAAATCTCATAAATGTCGATAGATCTGGTTTGCAGAGCTAGCCTGAGAAAGATGTTTCAACTGGGAAAGAAAAGATCAAGGATGAATAAGGGCAGTGGCTTAATGTCATGGTGGGTCAATTGCTGTCAGAAAAGCTCATAATGAAAGTACCCCTGTCAGAGATGCTGCAGTTTGTGACAGGTTGCCATTACAGGTTGTTTGCTCCCCTCTTGCATTTTTCTGTCAGCTTTCACAATTGGTCCAGGATTTTCAAATGTGTAGCAATCCAGAAATCCCAGACAAGCAGTCACGGTGCATGAATATGTTGACTGTGTTGCATGCAAGATATAACTAGTATGCAGAGCCGGTTAGGTTGGTGAAATTACATTGCCCTAGTGATCTGTATGTGCGTGGGGAGCAGACTCAGATCCTGAATGTGCTGTATTCCTGTTGCTTTCTTATTTTCTGATATGGTTTGGTCTAGAAAGATCTAAAGAGTCTCCTGTTCTACATGGAAAGTTTCCAGGTACCACAAAGTCTGACTAATATCTGCTTCATACAGCAGTGGGGTTGTTCAGAGCCTCTAGTTTCTCTGGTTGTTTATAGGTTTGGATGTTCATGTTGTCCCTGGTACTTTCCAGATATGTAGTCTCTGGATGCTTTGGACTTAGCACTCTCTTATACCCAGAGGTGCATTTGAGTTTCATTTTCTTAAAAGCCACCATCTGTGCACATCTTGGTCATGCTATGACAAAGAGTCATAAAGTACCATGTTTATACCTGGACCTGACAACTTCTTAAAGGAAAGTGTAACACTTTTGTGTAAACAGCTGCTACTGTCTCAGCTGCTGAGTGTGCAATATATTGATTTTTGGCAAATGAATATGGATTTCTGAGGCACGGACAAACTGCAGGCCAGATGAAAACCAGACTCCTCTCAGATAAATTCATACTGGTGGATGAATTGCTTCAGTTCTCTAAACACTTTTAAAAAGTGTGGTTCAAGACAACTAACAGTCAACTGAAGCCAAAGAAAAGGCATGAATGAGAAAAACAGAAACAGCATGTGAAAATCTATCACTGCTGGTCTTGATGCCTAGTTGTGATCATGAGCATGATGTCAGGCAGAAATCTTAAAACTGTGAACACATGCTATGCATTGGGGAAGGTGAACTATATCAGTGCTTTTTAGAAAGATGTCCAAGTGGGTGGTTGTGCTTTAGTGAGTGGCCTTTGGTGATCTCTAGTAAAAGTAACCCAATATTTCGCTTTTTGTTATTTTTCACAGATCTGTCTTGAGAATATATATCAAGCGAGTGGCAGTTGCAGTCTTTACATTGCAATTGAGAGATTTTTCTGTCACTTTTGTTATTTTTTGTTGATGAGTATTAAGAGAGAAGAGGAGAGCATTCTAATTATAGTTGCTTGTAAGGTTCATTTCCTTTCAGAAATTGATGTAGAAATATGTATCTCAAAAATAATGAGCTCTTTCTTTGTTAAGACAGAGTTGTCATCATTATCAAAATGTCATTGTTGTGAATATGAAGAGGGGTTTTAAGGATGTTGTGCTTTTGATGTTACTTCTTTTTTTTTTCTTTCCTGACTGACACAGTCTTAATTAGCTATGTTGGTGACTGGGTATAAGTTGTACAGACCCAAACACAGAAAAAAAAAAGAAAAGAGAATCTGCATCTACTGTATTTATTTTGGCAAAAAGCTGCTCTTGTGTTTAGAAGGAAAACCTAGAACCTGTGAAGCCCACATTCTGGGTCTCAGTCGGCTTTCTCTAACATTGGGAAAACGTTCCAATGCCTGGAAGGTGACCACTTAAAGATTATTGGAAATGCCAGGACACCATAGTTAGAGTAGGCACAAATGCTGAAACCTGAGACAACTGCTGTGGAGCCTTTTGTAACACCTGTCATAGAGCAGGTTTATGAGCTATGTTCTTCCTGAAGGTGAAGCAGTAGGTCTGTTGAAAAATATAAACAAAGACTACCTGGCCAATTAAAAAGGCCCGGGACTTAGCCCTAATATCTGCATATCTGAACTAAAATTTATTCAACATATACATAATTGTACAGCTTAGAAAAGGGCATGAGTACAGGTAGAGGTGCAGATATTTTATCCTGACTACTCTTTGTCCAGCTTCCTTAAAGTTACTCCATGTGACAGGTGCAGAAGTTTTTTTAGGAGGAGTGAACCAACATTATTTTTCACTAAGTTAATTTAGAAAAAAGCTAAGTTATTTCTTTTTTTCAAAAGATTGCAACTTGTGTTGTATTTTCAGTATATGCAGGGTTTTTTTCAGTTGATTAAAATGTCTCAAGCGATGGAGGATCGATTAGAAAGCAGTGGTGAAAGGTGTTGTATATACCCACAACAGGAATACCTACAACAACAAGGAAGGTTATCTGCTAGATTTAATCACAGGAAGAGTTCATGTTTCTGCCAAGACTGACTCTATTTTTTCCTTGTTAAATATTGTCCTGTAAATATCACGTTATGTCATTTCAGTTTGTGGGAACCCTGTGTGATTAAAGATCTTGACACCACTTTTTAGAACAGATTGCGAGTCATCAGCCTTAACTCACCTGTGCATGGTAAAGTGGGTGCATGCTGTTCATAGGAAACCTGCAGGAATTATAAGGAGAGGAATTAGCCCGGATGACTGAAAGAACTGGTGGATGAACTATCTTGTGCATTGCCTTGCAAGTGTGAAGCCGGAGTAGGTCCCTGGTGACCAACAGTATAGAGCATACCATGAAACACATGTGCCATACAAATTCAGGTCCCAGCTGGGAGAGACCCCAGAGGAGCCCACTGCTTGTTCCAAGGCAGGTACAGTGAAAATATCTCATGAGGACAAATCACTTGATGATCTTGAAAGATTTCTGTTGCTCAGCATGGCAGACTCGTTGCCTAATCAACTTTTCTTGTGTAACTCCTTTGGCTCTTACATTAAAACTTCCCAAGAGTAGGTTGCAATATTTTTTGTGTCAGATTTCACTATGAATCTCAATGATTTCTCCAATTCTGTCTCGCATTAGTGGTTTCGAAGTTCTTGCAATGCAGCACAAGGGCATCTTCTACCAAATACAGTGAGATGGCAGTCCAGCATGCTTCATGTTCTCTTATTGCTTCTTTCCTTTTCTGAAAAGGATTCCCCATAGTATGTAAAAAACTGAAACCAAAAAAATCCTCTAAATAGCTTCAGTTGTGCTGTGCCTTGTAATTTGTGATAAAATGCATACATTAAAAAACAAAACCAAAAAAAGCCTTGCAAAATAAATGCATGAGCTGCCTTGCTAAATAGCAAACACAGCTGTATGCAAGAAATCATATTCGCTTTGGTAAAAGGAAAAAGAAGTTCTCTTGCGTGAGAATTATAGAAACTCAAATGGTCACAGTTGTTTCTGGACCTTATTTTACCTTCTAATTTGAGGTCTAAACCACCAAGAGAGCCAGGAAAGAAATGTAATGTGCAATAAGGGCAAAGTAAAGGCGAGAGATTATCTAGATGCCGTCCTGAAACCAAACAAACACATTTCCTCTGTTGCAGCTTTGAGCAGCTGGGCTTGGCTAAGTGACCAGTGGGAAAAAGATAGGACCAAATTTAGCATGCAGAAGAAGGAGACAGATGGCA